AGACAGACAGACAGACAGACAGAGAGGGAGATATTACATAATCTTGCCAAAGTAATCAAACAAGTTCAACCAAGACTCTGGATCTAGCTGTTAATATTCACTACATATAGGACAAAGAGAACATCAGTTGTACCATGAGGACATAATCAGTACTGTCCAGACTATGAGAAACTCTGCACATCAAATTCCTAAACTATAAGGAAAAGAGGAAGATATAAAAGAAAGCTGTAGATTAAAATAGACTTAGAAAGCACGTGAAAACTACATGGGCAAGAGTGGTATCTAGGGATGCTCAATGGTGTGATTAAACAATAAAAAATTACCATGAAATTCAGAACATTATTCTACTGGTGGGGCTTGGAGAGGCTTGTGATAGCAGGGGGTGTGTGGGTGGGATTTGGGGGGAGGCCATTTATCTGTTATTTCTTGACTTAGGCTATGTTTCCAAGAAAGATCACATTGCAAGAGCTTTACATTGCATGGTTCTCTACATTTGTTTTATCCAGAAAAGATTAAAAACATCAATAATAGAACAGCAGTATATGTTATTTATGGATTTGTACAATCGAATATGTAAGTATACAATTTGACAAGAACAATATTAATTAAGTTCAAGTCAATTATTCCTTATAGGAAATTGGAAGAAAAATGGAACAGAGGGTTAGGGAAAGTCAAAGGTATTTTAAATTTATATGCTGTGTTTTACTTTCCCAAAATAAGGTTTTATACAAATCTGCCAAAATTCTAAGTATGATCAGTTTTCAATGTTGTAAACACAAATGTTTGTGTATTATCCTCTCCTAGTGTTTATTTTCAAATTCTGAATATTTTATCCTGTGAAAGCATACTGTGATCTGAAAATTTTTTATTGTTATTGGCATAGTGTGTTATATAAATCAAAGGTAAAATCATCATTAGTACAGCTACCTTATTTAACAGAAAGCATAATATAGGATCTTTGATGAACTAATGCCAAGTGAAAGAAAATTTGATTTTTAAAATGTTTATTCATTACCATTGTTTATGTAATAGTATTCTATAAAGAAAATGGATTTTTTTTTCTCTTAAGGCTGAGAAACCATTGTACAACTATTTTGAGCCATTGATCATTTCCTTCTTTTGGTAGATGGATAACAGTGTCCATTGAGATTCACTTGACACCAATAGAATGTTACAGAGTTTTTCCAAGTTGGGGTTTTGAGACCAGTTGTCTTTCTAGCTTAAGGTTTTGTGTTCATGGGTATGCATACACAAGTTAAGATTAAATTATTGACTTTACTCATTATTCTGACTTCCTAGTACTTAAGGAATCTGATCACCTTTTAGGCAAACTGTTATTAATGTGATCCATAAATTGACAATTGGCTATTCAAGATTTTATTCCCTAAATTTCCGCAGCAATTTCATTCTGCAATGATGGAAAATGCACATCAGGGAGAAACTTCCCAGAGTGTTATTTTATTTTTATTTCTATAAGTCTCATCAGCATATCAACCCACAGAAATAAGACAACCCAATCTGTCCCATAAAACATGTGAGAGAACAAGCAGACACAGCAGCAAGGCCTCTCCATACTCACCAGGCAAGTAGCTACACAGTCTCTCCATTGAGGCCTCCACTGTAGAGTTGTGAACTTGAGCCAGTTGCGTGATCACAGACACCACCACCACACACCCTACAAGGAGCAGAAGAGCAGATGAACAGTGCTTCACAGAACTCAGGTGAGAGGGCCAGGGAAAGAAAGGGTGCGGGTGTCTTTGACAATACAAGACTCACCAAAACCGCTTTTCTTTACTTTTTGCCTTTAAGAATCTTCTGTGTGCATCGATGCACTATGAATTGCCATGAAATGGGAAGGGGCATGAGGTGACTGCAGATCCAAAAGTCAGAAAGTGGGGTGATCAAACCAGTTTTGTCACTTGTGATCTTTGTGACTTTGAGTAAATAATTTAATTTTCCTTAATTTCTATTTCTTTTTAGTCAAGTGGGAGAAAGAGATGATGTTTAAATAGGATAGTGCAAATAAAGCAAATTATTCACAGTAGAAGCTAGATACTAGCCTCTCTTTTCTCTTTCTTCCCTTCTACAGTACACAGCTTCTTTATTAATAGGATCATTCCTATCATTTGTAATTTCAACCATGAAACAGGGCTAGATTTTTAATTTTGGAAGACAGTGGTGGAAACTGTGTAGAGGACCCACCAATGACTCTTGATCTTGATCTTTAATCTTGAACTACCTAGCCTTCCTTGCCCTAGTTTCCTCCTTAAAAATCAATCAATGAAATGCTTCCCATATGGGCTGCTGTGATGATTAAATGCAATTATAATGCAACTGGGTGTGCCTTTGAAATCATGCCACACTCTAAAATATCATTTTACAAGTACAAAGTACATTATTAAAAACAAGTACCAATAGAGTAAGGGTCTAAAATGAAATTTAGGTTAAATTAGGAAAATATTCCTTTCCCTTGTTTGATAATGATAAATTTGCATGCACAGACTGCTAAGCTGAAATTTCTAGAAGTTTCTATGTATGCCTTGGCCTATGGAATTGATTTGGAAGCCCACATCTTTTGCCAAAGGCAAAGAATGCTTTTTTTCTATACGTAAGTGCTGTAGCTGGTCAAAGTTCTATAAGTGTGTGGCAAGAAGTTGTAGCCTGTTGAGATAAGAGAAGTGGACACTTGTCAGCAGATTTCTAAAAAGGCAAAGTAAGAAGCTCCATCGTGGAGAAGTTCAGTAGAAAGTTTATAAAAACAGGAAGTTCCAGACGTCTGGACCCGGCTATGGACTCATTATTGCTTATCTTCTTAAGGAATTGGGGACCTCATTCATGTACATAATATCCCTAAAATTAAAGTCACATCAAGACCCTGGCAAGAAGGTGGCTCACAGCAAATGCAAACAATGCAATTGGGCATTTTCACGAACTTCAAGTTAAGCATTATCAGAAGAATCAGAGAAAATCACTGTATATTAGTTAATGTAACAACTCAACAGGGAGAGATAGTAGTTATAAATGTATATGCACTGAATACCAGTGTGCCTAATTTCAAAAAACAAACACTACTGGACAGAAAAGTTTAAATAAGCAGCAACACAATCACAGAAGGTGATTTCAGTACTTCCTTTTACAAAGAGATCAAGTAAACAAAAAAATTAACAAAGAAATATCAGAGCTGAACCACATATTTGAACAAATACACTTAATAGATATCTATAGTACCTTACTACCACAGAATATACACTCATCTTAAAAACACACAAATCTTTCTCCAACATAGACCTAGTAGTCCATAATGTCTGAACTAAATAAACACAAAATAATCACAATCATCCACATATGCTATCAGATCAGAGAACACTGAAGCTAGAAATCAATTGCAAAAAAATAACCCCAAAGAATTTTTATAAGCATCAGGACATTAAATAACACACTCCTGAACACTCAGTTGATCATAGAGATCAAGGAGGAAATTAAATGATTCCTAAAACCAAACAAGAATGCCAGAACCTATAGGACACAATGAAAAGAATACTAAAGGGAAAGTTTTTTCATTGAGAAAAACAGAGCAAGCCCAAGTCACTGTGAAAATTTTCACACTAGAAAGCTACTACAAGAAAAACAGCAACATTCCAAACCCAAACCTAGCACAGGGAAGGAAATCATAAAGATTAGAGAGTAAATTAACAAAATTAAGGCTAAAGAACTGCAAAGAATCAATGAATAAGAGAGGTAGTTCTTTGAAACAATGAAGAAAATAGACAATCTCTCAGTTCAACTTACTAAAAGAAGGAAAGATGAGACCCATATCAGTGCAGTTAAAAATTAAAAAGGCAAAATGATAATGGACCAAAGGAATCCAGAAGATTATTAGTAACTACTTTGAAAAAATATACTTCAAAGAATTGGACAATCTTCAAGAAATGGACAGACGACTAGACACATAGTAATTACCAAAATTGAACCAAGAAAACACAAAATCTCTGAACAGTCCAATGGCAGACTATAAAATTGACAGAGTAATAGAAAACCTACCAACTAAGAAAAATCAAGACCTGATGTATTTGCCACTGAGTTCTACGTGACCTTTGGGGACAATACGATGCCCAAACTCTTTCAACTGTAATAGTATCGAAATGAAAGGAGTACTTCCAAGCTAATTTCTGGAAGCTCGCATTAATCTGATTCCAAAACCAGACAAGGACTCAACTAAAAAGGACAGTTACAGACTAATCTATTTAATGAACGTAAATGCAAAGTCCTCAACAAGTTACTGCCAAACTGAATACAATAAGTCATCGAAAAGACCAGTTTTTGACAGACTGAGTATTTGGAGGGGTCAGAAATGAGCATGAGCTTGCTACACCTTTCAGGGAGGTGAGTGTTTTGTAGTGAGCTCACTTCATTTCTACCACCCCTTTTAAAGGTGTTGGTCTTTATATGTGTTCTTTTCTACCTGCACCTTTTTCTCCTTTTTAATTATTTATAATTTTTTGACCAATCTTAATCTTTTCAGATATCTGGTAATCTGAACAACAATTGTCTATTTGAAGACAATAATGTGTTGTTTTTCTTTTTCTTTTTCCTTCTTTTCTTTTTTTTTTTTACTATTTTTTGTATTCTTTTTAAAACTAAAAAAAATATTTAAAAACTATATGAGTAGCTACAGCATCTCTGATAGTTTCTGCCTTTCCTGCCTCTAGGAATCTAAAAGCCATTTGTAGCTTGCCTGAATTTCAGAGGAGTCTTTCAATGTTGCCTTTAATATAGGATGCATGCATCCAACCAATAGTTATAAGACATTTACCAAGAAACTGGTAGGCTTTGGTGACCCCAAACAAACAGAAGGTGACAGCTCTCCATAGGGACTGCTGCTATGCTTCTACATGTATCCAACCTGTATTGTAAACACTCATCAAATGCCTAGTGGGATTTGCAGACTTTGGTAGAATAGGTGGAAGAACAGGCATTCATTCTCAGGAGTAAAACAAGATAATCTGGTGGCCTGAAAGAGCACAACACATTTCTCCATATTTAAAAAAATTTTTTTTAAATTAGTGACAAATTTTCTAATGTCGTACTTAACATCGTCACAGACTAGGTGAGACACCAGAGCTGGGAAGCTACAGTTCGTTTGGGGTAGCAGGAATATTGGGTGAGCAATAATAAAGCAAGTGGGGGTGCCTCTTGGAATGTGACCTTATGGACTGTCCATTCCAGTGACCTCAGGGATGGTGGTTTTCATCCCCTGAAACTTCAACTCCAGCACATATTTCAATGCTTAAATGCATGTTTTAATCCATGGCTTAGAAAGACTAATGCCGAAAAAAGAAAAAAAATTGAGCTGCAGGAGACCAATCTGTGCCTTTGTACTGACAAATACATACTTTTCTTTTGAGTTTTACTTAGAGAAAGCCCCTCAAAGACTCAGGGCTGCTGTAGCTCCCTCACAATGCTGGCTAAAATTGGAAAATCATTAGGGAGATAAAGAGAAGCCACCAAGAGGCCCGCTGTTCCTGAAGACTAGGTGAGTCTTACCACTCTCTCTTTGCCTTGTGAAGAGTTATTATGATCAAAAGAGCCCTGCATAAAGCACGCAATGGGGTTTGAAATTGTGGATGCCCAGGTTGGGCTCAGCTTTGATGGGAGCCCATCTCCGCCCAGCTCCAGTGGGCTTTGCTCCCTTTTGTTGGGATTGTCACTGTAGGGTCTGCAGGGAGGAGGATCTTGGATCCTTTCGCAGCAAGAAGGAAGGAAATGACTTTTCTGTGGTTTCTAATAAGAGGTTTCACTGCCTTGAGAAGCTAACAGATGTTTCTCTGGTGGAGACACATGGGTGGAGAAATCCTTCTGTCTGCAGATAATTCCTTGGCTGCTAACACATGGCCCAGCTCTGTTGAAGGGGGTTTGTCCAGGCTGTCATTCATTTAGGAGTGAGGAGGGAGCAAGGCCGGTGTGTCTCACTGAGCAGTTGTCAGCACAAATCTCGCATATGGCAAATCTCTTCTCACCTGGCATCTGCAGATCATAATAGAAACAGACACTCCTGATGATGTAGAGAAAGAAGCAAATGGGACTGAATATGAACACCTGCCACGGAGATCCATTTCTGGCCGCCCACCTCGGGCCTCGCGTACATTCTACAGAGGAATCTTTTGAAAGGAGACAGAACTCTTGAAACAAATTAGAATCCTATCCGTGCTACTGGAAGTTCAGCGGCTGCGGAGAGCCGTGCGCAGTTCCCACACTTCACGGGCCTGGAAAGCACCTGTGGCCTGCAGAGCCCGAGTCAGCGTGACTGCGATTCCTTTTTGACCCTCAGAGGAGACATAAATAATTCATCGCCTTGCTGGAGTCTGCGCTAAGGTTCCCAAAGAGCTTTTGCATACATTATTCTCTCACTCAGACCTCCCTTGGAGATGTAGAGATGATTAGTCTCATTTTATAGATGAGCGCTTGGAGGCTCAGCGCCTGCGCCTGGCTGAGGGTGGGTTTATGCAACTGCGAACTGGGGGCTGGGACCTGAGCCTGGTACTGGGTAAAGCAAAAGAAAATGAGGAAGGCGTGGTCACAATCCCCTAAATGTACCCTCCTGGCAGCCCTTTTCTCCAGAATGCTAGATGGTAAGTAGAGCTGGCAGCACACCTTCTGCTTGTGAATCACAGTGTG